ATTATCGATCGTTTATGTTAGAATGCTATAATAATGAATGCTATATTTGTTCCAGTTACACTCTCTCTCTCTGTGTGTGTGTGCGTCGTAAAGATGTAAAAATTGACAAGTCACCCCTTTGCGAAAATTAAGCATGCAATTTATGCGCGTGATTAATCGCTTTTTTCGTATTTGACAGAGACACAATACTCCGTCCTTCATCGATTATATTTTGCTCTCCCTTCTTCCCGTGCAAACTCGACTAAATATATTGGCGAGTATATTCTCCATCTCTAAAAATATTATAAAAGGTTACCTTTGAGGACGTGAGGTTTTTTTACACGGACGGCCGGACGGTGTTATCGATTTCCCATTACATTCCGCGGGATGTACGTACCGTGTGGGTATCTCTAATATCGTGCATGTGTGATGTTACGGGTACGTAAGAGAGTTATGTTTATAGGAATTGTGAGCCGATAAAAAACACACTTCGAGAGTGTGTTGTAATTTTCACAGGTGTGCGTTTCCTACCGCGCAAATCTCTCGTCGGTCATAAAAAATGTATACTTTCCTACAAGAAGCTTCTTATCCTCATGTGAGAGAGTGTATATGATTGTGCTTGCAGCGTAAACCGCCGTCCTTGAACGTAAGAACGCGCGCGCAAAGAAATTCAACTTGAATTTTATTTCCCCGAAGAAACGTTGCGTGCACATTTCGCGGATAAATTAAATATCGCGGGTATTTTTCGAATTTTGAAAAATGTCGCGTAACGTATCTACTATCTATTCGAGAGAAGAATAGCGAGAGAGAAAGCGGGAGAATACGTGATGTGAAATGTATATACGTTGCTATGTACTCGACGCGTACACGGAGAAAATGTATTTTTCCCACGATTCCGTCCGACAGAGCAATGAAAATTCTAGAATCAATATTCGCCGTGTGTCATCACAATGTACACCAGCGTCGTTTCCCCCATTGTCTATTTCATTTTTTTCTCAGCGCCGGGAAATCGCGGCGCGCGCGCGCGCGCGCGCGCGTCGTCGGTTCTGGTACACAAACCACGGGAAACGATATTTTGTTGTTGCCGCGTTGCTGTAAACAACTTGCAAAGTAAAAATGTGCAAGAAAACGACGCGTGCGAGAGCGCAAAATGCGACGTTACGATATTACAGTGCAGCAACTTGTTCAGCAGTTGGGATAAACTCTCTAGATTTTAATCCACAAATGTTGCGGAAAAAAATTCAGAGCGGACTGGAACTTGCGACTGCGTTGGAATTTAATAAATTGAAAAGAAGAAAAAAAAACAATTGCTGCAAAATAGTGTTGCATTCGAGTGTTTCAAAATTTTTATCCGTGTCGCGAGAACGTTACAATAAATTTCGAATTTTATGCAGAGATTAAACAAAAACAAAAAAAAAAAAAAACAAAAATACAAATAAAAAAAAGAACGCGCGCGACCCAGCCGAGAACGTAACGAGAATTCCTCCGGCGTGCAGAAAATAATATGACAATTGATCGCCGTATTATAATAGAGCCGTGCTAATCGCATGCATCACCCAACTGGACGGTTTGCCAACACTCTCACGCCTTTACAGAGTGTCATTCACACAGTTAAACGAAACAATAGCAACCACCTCGTGTTGGATGCAACAGTCGATTCATTTAATGGTTCTGCTCCCATTTTAACACGTTACGTTGTCGCGCTAAAGACGGACTATCGGTTGCATTGACTTGCGCTCGCGGTTTACTTACCGTGTTTCTCGATGCGATTTTTTTTTTTTTTTTATTTTTTTTTTTTTGTGCCAAACGCGATAGCGCAGTTCGCCGCGGTCTTGTTTCTTTGCGATTTATATAGATCGATCGTCACATTAGAATAATATCGCTTTTGTGCGCGTGAGAAGAAAATATATAATTCCATAAAGAACAAAATTTTACAACATTTTAAAAACGGTTGTTATTTTTTTTTGCAAAAAAAACAAAAACAAAAACGTTTATGGATACAACTTCGATTGTTTAAAGAGAACGAGCGTTTGAAATTAAATTCATTTCGCCTGTATATTGCAAGAGACCATTTAAACAAACGCGAAATATATGCAAAAAATATCAGTCTGTCCGTTTCGATCAGTCGCGATGACAATCGATATTTCCGGCAAGTGCAGCGAGCATGTCGTAAACTTTAACCCGCTTCAACGTTCACACAAACGCAACTTGGACTTCCGGTACGATCGGGTCATTGAATATTGCGGATGCAACTCGGCTGACCTATATATGCAAAAACGTTCGCGCAAACTCGCACAAATATATTTTATATTTGATTTTTAAGTTTTGTATATTTTTCGCAAAGTTGGTGTGTCTTTAAACAAAAGTTTGTGTTTATTTACAAATTGTGTCATTGTAACACGTAGAAAAATGGTCGCCCTCGCGTTTTGCGTCGTCTTGAGGGATGACGCTTCGTTTTGAGCATGACGTGAAAATTTTACCACGGCACACATACGTTGCGCAACACGGCACGTGGTGTTTCGAGACGACTTTCGTCGTCGGCGACGTTGTGTTGACTCACGCAATATTCGAAATTTTTCACCCTCAATCGCGTGCACGTCGACAGTCGCGTTCGACGTGTGTGTTCGTTCGCGTGATTCCGCGTCGTTGCGCACGACATCGACTTTTTCTTTTTGTTAAATAACAAGCCGCCCAGCGGCTTGTCGTTCGTATTACGACCGCGTCGTGCCAAACGGTTATTCGGCCGAGTGGCCCATCAAACCGACTCACAAAGTCCGCGTGCTGCTTTCAAGCCGCTGCCGGTCGCGCACATTGCCAGATTATCGTGGCTCCTCGCTAGGTCAAGGATGCAATTTGGCTCGGATTGGTTTACGCCAACTTTTACTCGCCCGCTCAAATGCCTTCGCTATCTCGCGCGGCAACCGCTGATTATTTCGCATAAAACAGTAGTAGTGTGCTCACAGAGAGACGTTGTGTACGTGTGTACATACGCAATAAAATTACTCGACTCATTTTTTACGTAAAAAAAGAAAAACAAAACAATTGCAATATCACATATGCTATTGCGCATTGTGTTTTGCTCGGAAATATCATTCGAGCTCAAACGTATTTATAAATCCAGTCTAACGATAAATAAATAACATTTTGCATTTTGGGTTGAATAATGTTTAATGATGTCACAGCGCAAAGTGTTTTAAATAATTTTGTAATTTATTTTTTTTTTTTTTTTTTAATGGACGGGGGAGAGATTTATTTAGAAATGACTACTTGTTAAAATAAAATATTTGCTTTCTCGATGCCGGTTGCATTAAGCTCGAGTAGCATGTAGTTGGAAGTGAGGATTATATGAGAAAAAGCTCGCGCACTTGTGTATTGTAAAATATTTCGAAAATCTCCGGAGACAGACACACAGATTGCGATATAAAACTGATTGATTATATCTCGACGCTGTTGAGCGACAATTTGTGCAACACCGTACGAGAGAGAGAGAGAGAGAGAGAGAGAGAAATAACAAATAAAAATAAACAAATCGAAGTGTTCGCGGCAAGTGTTCGTGTACTTTGCTGTTTGGCGCGGGATTAAGGAAAAAGAAAGATAAAAACTTGTCCTGAAAAGAGAGGGCCGGCTTCTCAAGAGAATTTTTTTTTTTTTTTTTTTTTTTACTTCAATTTCGTCTCCGGTGAAACTTCATTTCCTTTAGCCTTGATATTCCTGGAGCAGAAGGGAATACAAACGGCGAATGTTGACTGTATAAGACGCGCCCGCGTGATGTTATTACCCCTCGATAATGAGCAACCCCAGAGGTAACGGCAAACTGTTGGCGGAGCCGCTTGGAATTCAAGAGGACCATTCCGCCAAATGACGAATCGCTTATCTAAACGCGTTTACGACGGCAAACCTCATTCCCTTTCCGCACAGCTCTGCTCGCAAGTACATTCCCGCAAAACTAATCAAGTCGACCGTGCATTTACGTCAATGCGCCGTCGAATTTTTAATTACAACAACCGCAACGTGTGTGCGTCACCGATAAAGAAAAATATAACAAATTCAGTTTTTTTTTTTTATTTTTTTCTAGTGACACGAGTGGAAGTAGCAGAATTTATTTCTAACTGTGTGTAGTTCGACTATCGCAACGTTCAACAACGTGTGACGTGACACAGTGACATTTTATATTGCGCGAAAAGTTTACCGGAGTAATGAGTTAACAAGGCAAATAACACACGTTGTTGTCGCAAACTGCAGTTTCGAGCTGATTCGATTAATAACGTCATTTACTTTATTAGCGTGCGACTTCGCGCGCTATCGATCTGCGCTTAAATTTCCCGTAAGCGCAAAATCCTTCGGGGCTACGCCGAACAGGACGAATAGAAACGTGTGTTACACAGGCGCGAGTACATGCGCCAGCAAGAAGGATTTGAAAGCAATCCGTTGTAGCCAGGAAAGAGTTCGTGTGTGCCACGAACGAAACGTCTGAAACCTACAGATTTCACACGTTCGTTATTTTCACGCAAAATTATTTCACACGCAAAATATGTTTGTCGCTTAAACAATTGCGTAAATTGCAGTTTTTCAACGATATAAACATATTTCGCTTTTATCAGAATTATTTCTTGTAGTTCGCAGAATTTCTTCGCGGCAAACTCAATAACTCGTGGCAATTTTCAATTCTCGTGCGAGATACAAAAACGCAACCAACAACTATCCGACGTGCGATGTCTAAAATTCGACGGTACCGTGAAAACTTCAAATATAAATCTAAAGTTGCAGCCACGTATCAAAGTTGCAATGGACACTTGTGCGGAACGTTCGCACAAAATTATAAAATACGCGGGAACGCAGCAATGCGATGCGAAATAACTGCGCGAATACCGCCGCACAACACCGCTGGAATTCGCGAAAAAACCAAGCAGCGGCCAGGTCGCGGCATCGCGAAAACTTTTGCACAATTCGCATTCGTTCGCGATCTTCGCGTTCCTCGTTCTCTCAAAATCCGAATGAAAAGATACACGGTGACCTCTTACCATTGCGTGATAAAATCCGTGCCAATGGTGAAGATAGGCGCGGAAGTGCGATTGACCTCGGTGCCGTTCAGGCTGCTTTCGGTGCCGTTCATCTCCATTCTATTTAAACCGAGGTGGCAGCAACCTTCAAAGCCACTGCGCCCTCCTTAGTACCCAGTCACCTCTCGGACATCCTAGGAACATAAATCAGGTATCTGTCATGGAGTGGAGAGGAGAGTCTCATTTCGAGTAAGTCAATTTTCTTCATAAGATTCGAAGCGACTTCTTTACAAGAAAAAATGTTGACTAAAGATAGTTGACTAAAGATAGTAGACCGTATTTTCCAATTGTGAGACACTTTTGACAAACAGAAACAGAGAAAAAAGTGTAAGCGCTCAGGGACACTAGATTTTGCATTTCTACGTTTATTTCTAGTGTCGATTGTTTCAAATATTGTGATTGTTTATTTTTCTGTTTTTTTTACCGCTTTATGAAAAAAAAAATGAGAATATTGTCAACTTACTCCGTCGAAAATTCTTTGTGACAAATCGGGACACAAATTGATTAAAATTAGACCAACGGGAAAAATAATCGGGACAGAGAGAGGGTCAAAAATCGAAACTCGATAAAGTCGGATTAGTCATTTGCGACTAAAAACCATTATTTGTTGTTCCATTTGTGAAACTGTTAATATCGAACATAGTTTATTTTATTTTTCTAAAATTTCCGCTTTCGACACACTCGTGCACAACGATTGAAATCGTTGCAATTGTCACAAGCAACATCTGGCGTCAATATTACAAACGTGACTTTTTAGAAGCATTCTATATATTAAACACATCAATATACATTACTGTTGATAAAAAAAAATACCTTCTCGCAAACGACTGCGATAGAATTGTCAAGGTTAAAACGCAAAACACCTTTCTTTCTTGCGTGTGGCACACGACGTCGCCTTATATGTTTACGATTACGTCCTAGAAAATGTGTACGCACGCGTTCGTTACCGAAGTAAGTGCCTTACAACCGGTACCGGTTGTGCGCAAATGCTACTGACAGCGGGCATTATTTACAGGTTTAATTGCTCGTAGGTAACGATAAAAAATTTGGCCAATTCAAACGCTATATGTATTTTATATTTAATTTTAGCTTGCCGCTGTAATCCAAGCTTATTGATATAAAATTAACAGAGCGGTTGATAAATTGGAACGCGCAGTATGTAAGTATTCGTTTTTTTTTTTTTTTTTTTTTTTATTATTCAATTGCAACGATGTTAATCTCTAAAAAAACGTAACTGGAATTACTGTAGAGATATCATTATGCAGACTGACCCGGCGGCGACAATGGCGACATAAGGTCCCATTCTGTTACTTCTAATACATATTGAGATCTCACATACACAAGAGGTTTAATTTCTCCTAGTCATGCCTCCCGCACTCGGTCAATAGTACCGCGACGTCAATAATGCGGTGATATTATCATGCGTCGCGAGACCCAATAGCATTAATGCTATTAAAATGCTTCTCGAATTCAATGCGAACACACACTGTGTTCGCCAGTAATAATAGTTTTTAAGTTTGCGATTTTTTTTTGCTCGAGTTATTTGCGAATTACAGCGATGACAGTGTTTACAAGGCTCTTCGATAAAAAAAAAGATCGCTAAATTACTGACTTGTTTCACTTAAAATTCGGTCACGAACGAAACGCGCGCGCGCGCGCGCCGTTTCTTCATTGTTTCGAGGCGGATGAATAATTTCGGTCGCGCGATCTGAATTAAAATATCGTTTGAGAGGCGTAATGTTCGAAATAACTTAGGTATTTTAAATTAAATTACCTGTTAAATGTAAATTTTATATGCTACACAAGCGTGATGTATGTCCCTCTCTTTCTCTTTCTCTCTTCATATTCTTCTATCATTTATCACTTATAACGGAAACTGTTGGCACGCAGTTATTCGGTTAATTTTAATCGGAAGATTAAACATCGGTAAGTGTATATTAATATTTAATGTGTTTTCACCATGGGTTCACGTCGGCGAAATTAACTGCATATGGTTTCTGTCAAAGAGATCCCGGGATCACATAATTACGTTTCATACGCAGTAATTTTCTTCTTTGCCAGACTGCTATTTTAATTAGGGAAAATAATGTGTGCCGCGTTACCATCATACGAATATTTATAATTATTACTATCCCCTCTCGAACTTTATATCTGCGAACTGAGCACATTTATTTGCAATAGGGCAATCGATAAGTACAGTATTTTCCATATATATATATATATATATACCAACGCAACAATTCAGAGAAGCGTACATTGCAGAGCGCAAGCTCTGACACATACATATTTATGAGTTAAGTAGAGCATGCAACATTTATCAGATTGACAATGGTTCTTTCGCCACAATTATTTCCCCGATTTAAAACAGCACGATTAATCCTTCAGTGCCAGATATGGATCTCCGAGATCCACCCAAAAGTTTTAAATCTGAGTTTGTTCAACCTTCTGATTCAAGACAAAGAAATTGAAAAAATATTGCTTTCTCTCCCTATCTAATCAAACTTAAAGTCACGTGGATCTCACAGACCCAGTCTGGATAATTCATAGATTATTTTTTATGTCTGACACCGAAGGGTTAAAGACATGTGACTAAAGTAAAGTCACGTGACTTTAACACGTGTTGTTTTTTCTCCTCTCTCTGTCACGTGACTTTACTTTAGTCACGTTTTTAACCCTTCAGTGCCAGATATGGGTCTGTCAAAATCCACCCAAAAGTTATAAACCAGTGTCTCTACTAGGTAATTAGCGCAACATTTGAAGGCCGTGAAAAAAAAACTTTAGGGTCTTAAACAATGGTAGAAATCGTTGACAGCGTTCTTCGTTTAATAGCTTTGCAAAGTTTGAATTTTGAAGCGCGATCTCACAGACCCAGTCTGTGACAACTCGTAGATCATTTTTTATGTCTGACACTAAAGCGTTAATATACTGCGATAATATCGTTGTCTCCTCGACGCGAGAGAAAGTCGATAACCCAACAAATCAAACCGTTTTAAAACCGTGTCCGAGAGATCGAATCTATATAATTCACGTGCGGAATAATAAACTCTTACGTGAGATTTACGTAAAACGTTGTTAACGATTTATTTATTTTAACGTGTCCATCTAGTTTGCGCCACAGTGTATATATATATACAGCCGATGATTTTAAATGGCTGCGAGAGCATAATCTGCCGAACGAAGTTGATTGGCGAACAGATGTAATTGCATAAAAGACGAGGATAGATTCGTCTCTCGCCGCCACTTAACAAGACTCCAATTAGCATCGATTGTTGCTGCCAAGAGAATATCAGATATCTCTCGTCCGATTTTAAAAACAAACGCCTTGTAACACTTTTCAATTAACAATACCCGTGTTATATTCTTAAACAACTGTGTATGTGTGTGTGTGTGTGTGTGTATATCGGATTTCATTAATCTCGTCTTGAAATTGCAATGTTTATGATGGTTTGTAATGGAAACCTATTTACATGATGTATAATACATGTATAACGCGCGAAAGATATCCCAAATTTAGATGTAACCTTATACATAATCTGCGCCCAAAGATCCGAGATAGTTAAAATAATTAAAGGATTGCGTGCGGGTGGCACATTTTTCAAAGGACGACACTGTCAGCCATTTGTATCTGACATGAAAATCGCACAGATCATACTTCCTCGTTCACTAAGTTTAGATCAAGATGTAGAAAACATGCTTAATCACGTCCTTGACTAAAACTTCCACCACCACGATAAGAAACGTAAATACAGCTCTTTTGCTATTTTCTATTTTCGAATAATTAATTTTTTTTTGTCATCACTCGTTGCGCGCGCGTATTAACGTTGATTTTCAACGTTGCGTTATGAATTTTTGTTAGATTTTTATTAGATTAATCGTTAAATTTAATATAAAATATTATATTACACATCACACTATTTATTATATTTATATTTATTATATTTAAATTGTGATATTTATTAATATTCCACGTGTATAAATGAAAACTTAATGGCTAAGTTTTCGCGATTAAAATTGCGTTATACGAAAATTACAACGCAGCAACAAACTTGAACGAATTTAATTCCGGCGCAACGCAATATGCATTCACACGTGTTCGTTCAATTATCTAAATGTTGCAATTTCGCGCACCCAAAATAATTATGAACAAAGAGCACGTCTGTTTGAATTTCGTGTGAGATCAGCCGCGACACGTTTCCCCATTTCTAGATATTCGGGCGTCTCGCTTTAAAGTTGCCACATTCTCTCCCCAATAACGAGGACCATAAATTTGAACGGGACCGAGTATAATGCCGGCGCTTGAACCTCTATCAGTCTGCAAATTCATGCAATTTCCGGCAGTCCTCTTCTCTCCTCTCTTTCTTTCATCTTATATACAACGCGACCTCTTTGTTTTCGACTATTCCGTCGCGCGTCTTGTCTCTCTTTCGCCGCCGATTTGTGCGAAAAAAAATATCACGTAACTCTTTTACGTCAATTCCGCGCTTATCATATAAATGGAAGTCGCGCATTTATTCGCCGGGAAAATGAGAATCAGCGATATATTTTTTCCAGCCAAATTTTCTAGTCGTGAAGCGGGGGAAAGGGTTTTTTCTTTTCTCGCTCGCGACGAATCCGCGTGACGTCGTTGGCGTGGACAGACTTTTCGCGCACGCAACAGGAAATGTACAAGAAACACACGTGTGGGGCACGAAATGGGGAGAATAATAAAAACGGCACGATGAGTGGATTGCGCTGTATCTGGCTGCTGAATGCCGGCTCGTTCGCAAGCACAAAACGCGAGAGTGGAAATTATCGGGCGTCTCAGTCAGAGAGATGGAACTTTCTTTAATAGCGTTTGGGAAAAACTTCATTCTGCAGAACGCGTTTTACATTCAAACGCGAACAGGTTTCCTCGATACAAACAACTTTGACGGCGTCTTTCGTTTATTTGCAAAATAAAGAAGAGAGAGAGAGACGAAAGAGAGAGAGAGAGAGAGAGAGAGAATATAAGTCGTCTTATATTATTTGAGAAATACGAGAGTTCGTGATTTACTTTCAGAAACAAAACGTTTCTCAGCAAAACACATTTTATACGTGATGTCATTTGTGATAATTGCGCGCGATCTTCCACTTCGACATATCTCGAGTTTTGCGT